CAAAAAAAAAAAAAAAAAAAAAAAAAAAAAAGATAGATGCCCCCCTCTATACCTTTTCCACGCAATTATTCCTTGGGGACACACAAAGCCAAATACTAAAATACTAGCTGGGTGCAGTGGCTCATGACTATAATCCCCACACTTTGGAAGGCCAAGGCGAGAGGATGGCTTGAGCCCAAGAGCTTAAGGATGCAGTGAGCTATGACTGTGACACTGCACTTCAGCCTGGGCATCAGAGCATGACTCTGTCTCTTAAGTAAAAAATAAATAAAAATAAAAATAGGCACTTGGTCTCAAGTCACCTGCTTGGCCCTCTTCCAAGTGTGCTAAAAATAAATAAATAAATACAGTAAAAAATAAAAACAAAACCAAAAACCTTACAAAGTACCTACTATTATGGAAAGCTCCATGACTGGATACTACAGGAGATAAGCAGGTTACAGATGCTACCCTCCAGGACTTTACAATCTTGAGAGGTTAATACACATACAGAAAAAATATTGACACATTTCACACAAAGAAGAACAATGTTTAAACTTAAGAAATCCTCAGGTGGGGCGTGGTGGCTCACGCCTGTAATCCAAGCACTTTGGAGGCCAAGGCGGGCGGATCACCTGAGGTCAGGAGTTCAAGACCAGCCTGACCAACATGGTGAAACCCCGTCTTAAAAAAAAAAAACAGATCCTCAACACTTTGGACATATTTCACCTATAGTCACATCACTTATATATCATTTATAATGTAATCTCCTGGAGTGACTTAATACCTACCACTATGCTTGGGTATTACAAACACAGGAAGGCAAGAAGGAAGGGAAGTTGTAGTCCAATTAAATGCTATATACTAATCTGCAAATTCTAAGTGCATCTCATTTCCAAAATATAGGCAGTTAACTAAGGTGCTTTTAGAAGGCTCAGGGCAGGCAAGGTGGATAGGGTAAGTCAGAAAAAGTTAGAAGGATGGAAATAATCATCTATTAAAAATACTTTTTTGGGCCAGGCGTAGTGGCTTACACCTATAATCCAAGCAATTTGGAGGCCAAGGAGGGTGGATCACCTGAGGTCAGGAGTTCAAGACCAGCCTGACCAACATGGTGAAAGCCTGTCTTAAAAAAAAAAAGAAAAAAAATACTTTTTTGGCTCAGCACAGTGGTTCACATCTGTAATCCCAACACTTTGGAAGGCTGAGGTGGGAGGATTACTTCAGCCCAGGAGTTTGAGACTAGCCTGGGCAACAGAGTAAGACCCTCTAATTTTTTTTTTTTTTTTTTTTTTTGAGACAGAGTATTGCTCTGTCACCCAGGCTGGAGTACAGTGGCAAGATCTCGGCTCACTACAACCTCCTCCCCAGGTGTCACTGATTCTTCTGTCTCAGCCTCCCAAGTAGCTGGTATTACAAGCGTCTGTCACCACACGCGGCTAGTTTTTTAATTTTTTAGTAGAGGCAGGGTTTCATCATGTTGGCCAGGCTGGTCTCGAGCTCCCAACTTCAAGTGATCCACATACCTCTGCCTCCCAAAGTGCTGGGATTACAGGCGTGAGCCACGGCACCCAGCTCAAAAATTTTTTTTTTAAATGTGTGGGACATCTGTGGATTTGACAGTAAGTTCCTCACCACTTCTAGCATATGAAGTCAAGGTGTGGTGACACATTTAAGACTTTCAAGAATAAAAATAGGCCGGGCGCGGTGGCTCAAGCCTGTAATCCCAGTACTTTGGGAGGCCGAGGCGGGTGGATCACGAGGTCAAGAGATCGAGACCATCCTGGTCAACATGGTGAAACCCCGTCTCTACTAAAGCTACAAAAAATTAGCTGGGCATGGTGGTGCGTGCCTGTAATCCCAGCGACTCAGGAGGCTGAGGCAGGAGAATTGCTCGAACCCAGGAGGCGGAGGTTGCGGTGAGCCGAGATCGCGCCATTGCACTCCAGCCTGGGTAACAAGAGCGAAACTCCGTCTCAAAAACAAAAAAAAAAAAAAAAAAAAGAATAAAAATAAAGTGAAAAAAGAAGACACCTTATGCTCAAAACATCAAGGGTAAAAGAGATGGTGCAATCTAGTAACATCATAGAGGTATTCAGAAAATCTGGAAAGCAGTATAAATCTATCCGACTAACACATCAGAAAGTAGTAAGTTTTCAGAGCAACTAGAAATATGTGATACAGGGGAACAGACATTACTAAAATCATCTTCCGAGGCAAGTAATACAAGAATAAAACATCCTTCTCCCCATGCTGGAATGGAAAAGCTAAATGCCTACTTTCCTTGAAATTATCAAACCTGAAAAGCAATTTGAATTGAAACTTTGAGTCCTCTTCATTCTTCCCAAATAATTAAACATTCTGCAGAATAAATCAAAATTCAATACACATGCTTTAAACAGATGAAGGAGATGAAGACGTAAAGGATTTTATTTGGGCTACCTTGTAGACTAGGACTATCTAACTTATTCTGCATTTACAGAAACACTTTAAGAATACAGAATACTCCTTTTGCATAGGTGCTATATTTCCTATAGTAAATTTAAAAAAAAAGAAAAAATACAGAATACTCTTATTCTTTAATAAGAATACAGAATACAGAAACTCTTTAATAAAGAGATTATTCTTTTTTTTTTTTTTTTTTTGAGACAGAGTTTCGCTCTTGTTACCCAGGCTGGAGTGCAATGGCGCGATCTCGGCTCACGGCAACCTCCGCCTCCTAGGTTCAGGCAATTCTCCTGCCTCAGCCTCCTGAGTAGCTGGGAGTACAGGCACGCGCCACCATGCCCAGCTAATTTTTTGTAGTTTTAGTAGAGACGGGGTTTCACCATGTTGACCAGGATGGTCTTGATCTCTTGACCTCGTGATCCACCCGCCTCGGCCTCCCAAAGTGCTGGGATTACAGGCTTGAGCCACCGCGCCCGGCCTAAGAGATTATTCTTAAGCAGAGGCCACTAATCAATACAGTTTTAATTGTACTGCACCCACATGTCTGATGAGGCACTAATTAGAAAAGTATTTTTTCTATGCCAGAGGAAACTTTTTAGACCTAAAATGCAAACTAACAAACTTTAGAATTTGAATACCTTCGATGTGTTTTTTAAAGGAGTCAACACATTCAAAGTTTCCTTTACAAACCTAACTTTCTGTAAGGATTTTATTACAATTTCTAATAATAAAATTAGAATTACACCACCAATATAATCAACACACAAATACTTGTGTCATTAATTACAATACCAATTATTTAACATGAGAAAAACGAGCCCTAAAAAAGTGGCTTTGACATCACTGGCATGCACTACAGGAGTTTTAATTCACACACAGGACTTATTAAGCATTTAAATTGCACATTACATTGGCTAAGTGCTTAATAATCATTTTATTAGCGGTTTCTAGTCCAAAACAACCCATGAAGAATTTTACAGAAGAGGAACCGAGGCCCAGAGAGGAACCAAAGAAAACCAAATTTTACGCTGGAGGAAATAACACCATTCTGTTATAACGTGCCAGATGCTTCTCATCACTTTTCATACGCAATATGAATCCTGCCAAAGTAATTAATTAATACGAAAAATACCAAGAAAACCTATTGAAGTTCCTCTAACAAAGCGATTGGCTGCTTAAACACTTAAGTACTTGGGACTAACTACATTTCATTATAGAAACACAACTATAAGGAAGTAAAATTCTCCCAAATGACAAACTTAGTGTCTAAATTTAAAGGAGTTATTTTTGTTCGCACTTGGCAAAAAAAAAAAAAAAAAAAAGTAATCAAAGAAGCTCATCAAACAAGTTAGTCAGAACCTGTAACACGGAATCAGGACCGTTACCAGAAAAAAAGAACCATGTCAAGCGGTGTGTGTAGTACGGAGGAAGTTAAGAAGTCAGAGTGTGCTGCTGCTTAACAGGCTCAGCCAGTCCATCTTTCAGAAGATAATAGTTCTAACCAGAATTGTGGTTTAATCAGTGCATATCTCAGCACCAGCAATGGATCACATCCAGTGTTTCTGAGGGTAACAAAAAACTTGAGCCGGCGCTAGATGTGGAGGAAAGTTCTTTCCTTGCCCAACTTAGGCATCCCTATGTCTTTTATCTTCGTGTTATATCTCAATGAGAAAGAACTATATGCTCACCCAGAGCACAGCTCTGGTGAGGTGTCCCTGAGGAGCTGTCCTGACCCCAGGTTCCTCAATCAGAGCCCTTGAACCTAATTCCCTAGTCAGATCTCACCCAGTCAAGAGCCCTAGCCGGTGAATCAAACTCTTCCTCACTCCCTCCCTCCTAACCTCCCGGGCCAATTCCGTGACCTACATCCCTGCACCCTGCACAGAGCCCCAAACTCTGCACCCCCCATTATACTTCCGCCCCAGTGGCTTCCCAGTTAACCTTCGCCCCAGCCCCCATCCTATCTTTGTCTGGCTACCCCAAACGCGACATCCCAGCGTCCCCCGACTCCCAACGGCAGCCACTCCCCTGCGCCGCCCTCCACCCTCCCGGCCTCGTCCCCGCCCCCACGCCCCCCGGCCCTCGGCCCCCGGCCGGTCACCCCGGCTCCGCGCCTCCCCGGCTGCACCAGACCCGTCCCCTCCCCCGCTTCCTCTGTCCGCTGCTTCTCCTCCCCGCGGCCCTCCGCCCACGCCCACCCAGCTCCCGCGGGCGCTCCACAGGCCTTTCACCTTGTCCATGAGCTTCCAGCACTTCTCCACCATCTTCTTGTCCACGGTCCCCGGCGGGTGGGGGCTGAGGTGGTGGTGGTGGTGGTGGTGGTGGTGATGCGGCTGGAAGGCGTCCTTCATGAGCCCAATCAGGCCGCCCGAGCCCGAGCCCCCGGAGCCGCCGCCGCTCCCGGCCCCAGAGCTCTTCTTTACGTTGCCAGCCATGGCTTGGGCAGGTTTGGAGCCCAGGCGGGTGCGCCGGCTCGGCTCGACTGCGAGCGAGGGAGAGAAGCAGGGCGTGAAGGAGGAGCCTCTCCCGGCCGCCGCCGCCGCCGCAGCCGCCGGCTATCCGGGCGGAGGGAGGAGCAGCCGCGGGGAGGGGAGTGGGCGGCGCCGAGTGAGCGCGGGGCGCGCCCCTTCAGAGCGCGCGAGCCCGGGACGGGCGGGGCACGTGCCGGAGGTGGACTGGCTGACTGGCGAGCTCGGGAAAGCGGCGGGCCCCGGCCGGACTGGACAGAGACGCCCCCCGGGTCACCCGCTCCGAGCAGCCCGCGTGCCCGCAGCTCCCGGAAAGCAGCTGCCAGGTTTCCGCGCCGGTCTCCCTGGCCCCTACGCCAGGGGCGGGGCGCGGCGCGGCGGGGCGGGGCCAGGCTGGGGCGGGGCCGGCGCAACCTTCGTGTCTGCGCCCTCTGCTGGAGAAGCGGAGAAACAAGCGCGGGGAGGTCCAAGGTGGAGCCTGCGCAGTAGCCAGAAGGCGAGACTTCCATGCTCCTTGTGAGCCGGGGGTTGGCGCTCCTGGGGTGGGTCATGGGAATGTTTAAATTAAGGCAGGTGGCCATGGAATGAGTCTTGATGTCAGGTGTTTCCCCACGCCTGACAAATGAGGAAATCGAGCTTAGAGTTATTTGCTTATTCACACTGTGGGAGGATGGTGGGAGAAAAAGGAAAGTTATTTCTCCACCCCTTGTTATTTTCAATTCTTTATTAAGACGCGACCAAGGACACGAATATGAATGCTGCGGCCTGTTGCAGCCGCATCAGGCCTCAGAAAGGCTTGAGACACTCAAGCCAGGAGCTCTTCTTCCAGGCCCTTTGACCTCTTGAAAACAAAGCACTTCCCTTTTTTTTTTGGCTCGTGAAGACTAGTTACGTTTCTGGGAATTGACTCTCAAACATGTACTTAAGATTTTCCTACTCAGAGCATTGCACCACAGTTCACCACCGCCAGCATGAGGGCCCCCTCAGAAGCTAAAGCTGCTGCCGGCTCTGCCTGAGGGGGTTCTCTCTACGCCCAGGGAACAGAAATGCTGTTCCTGATCACTTCCACTTCTTGGTCAATTACGCTTCTCTAATGTAAAAGTTCCGTTGGAAGAACTTTGAAAATAGGAACTTCCCTTCCAAAGAAGGAAGTGCCCTGCCCTAATTTACTAATTCTGAGCCTCGGTTTTGGGAGTTTGCAGACCCAGGTGTATCAGTATCAGTTCTGCCTTCCATCGCCCTCCAGCATGTTCCACAAAGCCCTTGACGGATGAGGGAGTTAAGTTTATTATGTGCTCCTGTAAAGGGGAAAATATTTTTGAACGCAGGCACCATTCAGCCAGACATCCTGGGGTTGCCATTTAATCGCCTTTATGTAGGATTGATTTTGGAGTCAACGTTATTATTTACTATCAGAAGAATTTCCTTTTATCAGTTTCCATCCAGAAAGAGAAGACTCTATGAAGGGAAAATCTAGGCAAAACTCCAACCTTAGTGTCAACCCCTAGTTGCAGGTCCTCCTTTTCTTTTGCCTGGACTATTGAAACCTTTTCCTCCTCCTTCAATTCGTTCTGTCACCATAAGGCTTCCTAAAGTATAGTAAGACACACCACAAAATAACTTTAAATACTTCCCACTGCCTCTGGGATAAAATTGACAACCAAGTTGCTCTGGCTCCAAACTAAACCTTGTAGTTTTATACTACTCCCTGATACACATGTCCTATGCTAGCTGTCTCACCAAGTCATCAAATACAATTATTTCTTTCTTTTCTTTTTTTTTGAGACAGAGTCTCTGTCGCCCAGTCCAGAGTGCAGTGGTGCGATCTTGGCTCACTGCAGCCTCCGCCTCCAGGGTTCAAGCGATTCTCCTGCCTCAGCCTCCCAAGTGGCTGGGATTACAGGCTCCCACCACCACACTTGACTAATTTTTGTATTTTTAATAGAGACAAAATTTCACCATGTTGGCCAGGCTGGTCTCAAACTCCTGACTTCTGGTGATCCGCCCACCTCCACCTCCCAAAATGTTGGGATCACAGGTGTGAGCCACCACACCCAGCCAATTCTTTTTTCATCACCATCACTCAGAGTATTCCCTCAGCCTGAAGTGTGCTTTAAAATCCAATACATTCGGCCAGAAGCGGTGGCTCATGCCTGTAATCCCAGCACTTTAGGAGACCGAGGCAGGCAGATCACCTGAGGTCAGAAGCTCAAGACCAGCCTGGCCAACATGGCAAAAACCCATCTCTACTAAAAATACAAAAATTAGCTGGCCATTGTGGCAGGCGTCTATAATCTCAGCTACTCGGGAGGCTGAGGCAGAAGAATCGCTTGATCCCAGGATAGTCTCGAAATCCTGAGCTCAGGCAATCCTCCTGCCTCAGCCTCCGATTACAGTGCTAGGATTACAGGTGTGAGCCAGCATGCCCAGCCAAAATTTTTCTTTGGCTTGTTTTAGAAAATGTGCATGAGAGGGGATTGGGCTGTTGACCACACTGTCATTCCCATTCTGGGTTATGCTAGAGTTGGTTCATCCTGCATCACATCATGTAACATTGTGGCCTCTTTCTTTCTTTCTTTTTTTCTTTATTTCTTTTATACTCAAACAAAAAAAAATGTTTAATTATTTGATGCTGATACAGTATTTTTTTAATTTAAAATGAGACAAATCTTTTTGTGCCTTTTGAGATTTTATTTTAAGCCACATGCCAATATTATCTATTTAAAGAATAACTTTTGGCAGGCGCGGTGGCTCATGCCTGTAATCCCAACACTTTGGGAGACAAAGGCGGGTGAATCACGAGGTCAGGAGTTCAAGACCAGCCTGGCCAACATCGTGAAACCTTGTCTCTACTAAAAATAAAAAATAGTCTAACGCCTTTTTCGGCCTCAACCCACCTGTACCCAAGTGAATAAAAAATAAATAAATAAATAAATAAAATAAAAAATAAAAAATAGCTGGGCGTAGTGGCAGGCTCCTGTAATCCCAGCTACTCGGAAGGCTGAGGCAGGAGAATCGCTTGAACCTGGGAGACGGAGGTTGCAGTGAGCTGAGATTGTGCCATTTCACTCCAGCCCAGATGATAGAGTGAGACTCTGTCTCAAAAGAAAAAATAATAATAGTAGCTTTAAAAAAAAATCACAATTTGAGGACTGTACACATAGGAACAAGCCATAAAGCCATAAGCCGCACCAAAGGGATCCTAGATCCTCTTTGCCCAGGGGAAGCCAATTTTTGGTTCTTGCCTTTTTCTTATTCCACTTTGCCTTCACCCCAAACCACATCCTCATGCTGCACCTGAAAGTCCGTTGACTGGGCTGGGCAGTGTGACTCACACCTGTAATCCCAGCACTCTGGGAGGCTTAGGCAAGCAGATCACCTGAGGTCAGGAGGTGGAGACCAGCCTGGCCGACATGGTGAAACTCCATCTCTACTAAAAACACAAAAATTAGCCGGGGGTGGTGGTGGGTGCCTATAATCCCAGCTACTCGGGAGGCTGTGACAGGAGAAAGTCCTGAACCTGGGAGGCAAAGGTTGCAGTGAGCTGAGATGGCACTACTGCACTCTAGCCTGGGCAACAGAGCAAGACTTGGTCTCAAAAAAAAAAAAGTGGCTGGGTGCAGTGGCTCACGCCTGTAATCCCAGCACTTTGGGAGGCCAAGGCGGGCGGATCACGAGGTCAAGAGATCAAGACCATCCTGGCCAACATGGTGAAACCCCGTCTCTACTAAAAATACAAAAAAAATTAGCTGGGCGTGGTGGCATGCACCTGTAGTCCCAGCTACTTGGGAGGCTGAGGCAGGAGAATCTCTTAAACCCTGGAGGCAGAGGTTACGGTGCGCTGAGATCACGCCATTGCACTCCAGTCTGGGCAGCAAGAGCGAAACTCCATCTCAAAAAAAAAGGAAAAAGAAAAAGAAAAACTTCCCAAACAGACTTCTAGATGAGGGGAATGAGGACAGAGACAGGAACCCCCACTGCATTACAATACAGGAGAAGGTTGTGGAGGGAGAATAAATGAAAAACATGCTCAAGATTAGAAGAAGCTGGTCTGACGGTAGTCAGTTATCAGAACTTATTAACATTAGTGTCATGTCAAAGAAAAGAGTCAAATTCTGTAAAATATTTGAAGAGATTTATTCTGAGCCAAATATGACTGACCAATGGCCCATGAGACAACTCTTAGGAGATCCTAAGAACAAGTGTCCAAGGAGGACGGGCTACAGTTTGGCTTTATACTTTTTTTTTTTTAATGATTCAGTCTCCGTAGAGACTGTCAAAAATTGCCAATACTGACTATATTTCAAGTCATCATGGCGGGGTATTGGGAAAAGTTTTCAATTAGCAATAATTGCGCCTCGGATAAACCTCATTGGCTACGATACTGCCACTGCACAAAGCTACTTTTTTTTTTTTTTTTTTGAGACAGAGTCTTACTCTGTCACCCAGGATGGAGTTCAGTGGCACTATCTTGGCTCACTGCAACCTCCACCTTCCAGGTTCAAGCGATTCTCCTGCCTCAGCCTCCCAAGTAGCTGGAATTACAGGCGCCCACCACAATGCCCAACTAATTTTTTGTATTTTTAGTATAGACGGGGTTTCGCCATGTTAGCCAGGTTGGTCTCGAACTCATGACCTCAGGTGATCCACTCACCTCAGCCTCCCAAAGTGCTGGGATTGCAGGCATGAGCCACCACACCCAGCCAGCTTTATACATTTTAAGACTATGTAAGACATCAATCAATACATGTAAGATGTACATTGGTTCAGTCTAGAAAGGTGGGACAACTGGAAGTGAGGAAGTGGGCAAAGGAGTTAGGGTTAGGGTTCCAGTTCACAGGTAGATTCAAAGATTTTTTAATTGACAGTTGCTTGAAAGAGTTATTATATAAAGACTTGGAATCAATAGAAAGGAATGTCTGGGTTACAATAAGGGGTTGTAGAGACTCTGAGTTACTGGAGCTGTAAGCACTTGGGAAGTCAAGACTGGCTCATCTCTTTGCTCTGTAAGATGTCCGGACAGTCATAGAAGTGCTGTGCAGCCAACCAAGGTGACAAGCATGAACCAGCCTCGGCCTGAAGTTACCCGCTCCCCAGAAGAAGAGCTTTTCACTTCCAGATCTTGTGGCTATTTCTTTTTTTGTTTTGTTTTGTTTCGTTTGTTTGCTTGAGACAGAGTCTTGCTCTGTTGCCAGGCTAGAGTACATTGGCGTGATCTCGGCTCACTGCAACCTCTGCCTCCTGGGTTCAAGTGATTCTCCTGCCTCAGCCTCCTCAGTGGCTGGGATTACAGGTGCCTGTCACCACACTGGGCTAATTTTTGTATTTTTTAGTAGAAACGGGGTTTCACCATGTTGGCCAGGCTAGTCTTGAACTCCTGACATCATGATCCACCTGCCTCGGCCTCCCCAAGTGCTGGGATTATAGATGTGAGCCACTGCGCCCGGCCTCTTGTGGCTATTTTTACAGATCTGCTCCTGACAATAGGCAATAGACCAAAAATACTGAGAGTGACAGAGTTGAAGAGAAGTACCTAAACAAAGATGGCCTGGCACAATGGCTCACACCTATAATCCCAGAACCTTGGGAGGCCGAGGCAGGAGGATCACTTGAGCCCAGGAGTTTTAGACCATGCTGGCCAACATGGTGAAACTCTGTCTCTACAAAAAATACAAAAATTAGCTGGATGTGGTGGCATGCGCCTGTAGTCCCAGCTACTCAGGAGGCTGAGGTGGGAAGATCACCAGAGCCTGGGGAGGCGGAGGCTGTAGTGAGCCCTGATCACTGCACTCCAGCCTGGGTGACAGAGAGAGACCCTATCTACAAAACAAACAAACAAACAAAAAACCCTAAAGGAAGAGTCTGCAAGTGCCCTAATCTGAAAGGAGAAGAGCCCTGAAGTTTCTATTTTTTTTTTTTTTTTTTTTTTGAGACAGAGTTTTGCTCTCGTTGCCCAGGCTGGAGTAAAATGGTGCGCTTGGCTCCCCACAACCTCCGCCTCCCACATTTAAAGAATTCTCTTGCCTCCACCTCCTGAGCAGCTGAAATTACAGGCATGTGCCACCATGCCCGGCTATTTTTGTATTTTTGGTAGAGATGGGGTTTCTCCGTGTTGGTCAGGCTGGTCTTGAACTCCCGACCTCAGGTGATCCACCAGCCTCAGCCTCCCAAAGTGCTGGGATTACAGGCGTGAGCCACCGTGCCTTGCTTCTACTATTTTCATTCTAACCAGTATGGTGCACAGAGATCCAAGTGGCAGACAGATGGCAAGGCTCCAGAATAGCACAGACCTGGAGGGAGAGGGAGGGCCGCCTCCTGACAAGGGAGGGCCACTGGTCATACTCTCTCCTCCGCATTAATTCTTCCAGCCACTCCTGGCTCCAGCAGGACGCTAAGAAGTATCCCCAAAGGGAGTCACCCCCAATATTGCCCAGTAAATAATTTAGAAGCAAAAATGCAGGAAACTCAGGGGAAGGTCAAGCAAGTCCACTAGAGGGAGCCCAGCCAACTCTGTGAAGCAGGGAGCCTCACAAAGCAGTGTCTCAACACGTCTGCAAATCAACCACACAAAGGAATGGAGAAGTGTGGCAACAGATTAAGTCACTAGGAGAGAAGATTGCCACAGAAACACCCAGATAAAACCCAGGCTTTTCAAGAGCTACGAAATCAAACATTTAAAGATCAGGAAACTGAGGCTGAGCAAAGTCAAATGGCTTGCCTCCGTTAACATATCCACAGTTGGGACTCAAACTCACATCTCTTGTCTCTAACCTGAGCACTTTCCTCCACCCTTGCATGCCTCTAGGTCAGTCCCTAGAGTCCCTGGGGCCACCATTCCTCTGCATCTCATTTCTCTGAAGTGGGAAACTCCCTCGACTACCTCTTCCTGCACTTATTTCCCTCATTCTACAGTGTACTGAAGGCATCTTCAGTGGTTTGGGGGTTTTGTTTGTTTGAGACAGGGTCTCCCTCTGTCATCCAGGCTGGAGTTCAGAGATGCAATCACGGCTTACTGCTGCCTCAACCTCCCAGGCTCAAGCGATTCTGCCTCAGCCTCTCAAGTAGCTGAGATTACAGGTGTGCACCACCACGCCAGGCTGAGTTGGTTTTGTTTTGTTTGTTTTGTTTAAGACGGAGTTTCACTCTTGTTGCCCAGGCTGGAGTGCAATGGCACAATCTCAGCTCACTGAATCCTCTGCCTCCTGGGTTCAAGCGATTCTCCTGCTTAACCCTCCTGAGTAGCTGGGATTACAGGCATGTACCACCATGCCCAGCTAATTTTGTATTTTTAGTAGAGACGGGGTTTCTCTATGTTGGTCAGGCTGGTCTCGAACTCCAAACCTCAGGTGATCCTCCTGCCTCGGCCTCCCAAAGTGCTGGGCTTACAGGCCTGAGCCACTGCGCCCGACCTAAGTTTTTAATTTTTTATAAAAATGAGGTCTGACTGTGTTGCCCAGGCTGTCTCGAACTCCTGGCCTCAAGCAATCCTGCCTCAGCTTCTCAAAATGCTGGGATTACAGGCATGAGCCACCATCCCCAGCTTAGATCTTCAGGTTTAAGCCTACTAATGTCATTTTGCTGATAAGACCTGGGGATGTAAATTGTCCAACATGGCTACTGTCAGTCTTTTTCCTCTGTATCAACACAACATATTATATCAGATGTGTACACCTGAATTTGTAAGTCTCCAAATTGCAGGCCATATCTACATGGCAATGAATCATAGCGAATTGGCTTACAAAGCCCATTCTCTTCAAACTACACTTAGCATTTTGGCTTAAGGAAAGAACTGACCCTTTGAGACCTTGACATTTTAAGTCTTGTGAGCTGATTTAGCCCATTCCACCTTCCTAGGAACTCCATGTTTCCCAGTTGCCTGGACAACATACAGCCTCCTGAAACCCAACCTTCCAGTCCTCAATCCTACCCTGAAGAGAAATTTGCCTCCGAGGGGTTCCCAGGTCCCAGGCTCCACCTCAGGCTCCTCGCTAGTTGGGCCTTCTCTCTGCCACTCCCCACTAGTGGGTCACTCCCCACGAGTGGGTCACTTCACAAGGGCCCCAACACAGGCCAGAGAGGATCCTACAGGTAGGAAGAGAGGGGTGAGGAGAATGGGAAGAGGGAGGGGAGCAGGTACAGGGATTTAGTTTCTCTAAAAGACAGTTGAGAGGAATGACTTCTGAACAGAGAGTCAGCCTGGTTAAGAGAAAAAACTCCATCCTCCCCACTGACCCCAACCCTGCCTGAGGTTTCAAAGAGACCATGAACTGACTCTTCTAGAGAGGAGGAGGGACAAATTTGGAGTAGAACCAGGTGACTCTCCTGAGACTCCTGGTTAAGTTAGGGGCCAGGAGAGCATCCCTGTGTCCAGACCTAAACATAAGGTCTCCTCCTTTAGGTAGCAAGGAGATGCCACCTAAAAACAAAGAAAAAGGGAGGAAAGCTGGAGCGCAGAAGAAGAAAAAGAACAGGGGTGAGTCATGGTGGGTGGAGGTGCCCTCTGCTTCTCCTTGTTCTGGCACGATGACCACTCAGAAGTCCTCCAGAAAGAATTCAGCCTTCTGCATGATAGGGCGGAGCTCTCTTGACCTTCCTCTTCATGTCCTAGAAGCCAGATTCAAGGAGCTGAGGAAGGAGGGCAATGGTCACCCACACTGTCCTTTGAGCCCCGTCTAGCTCTGTGCCTTCCTGATATATTTGCATATCTGTTATGTGCTGGTCGGTGAGGACATGGTGCTGACTTCAGTAGACCCTGCCACCATGGATCACTCATTTAGTGGTCCTCAGGTCTCCTGTGGGAAAAGTGCTGGGTGTGGGGTGAGGACGCAAGGAGAGTGAGGAGTGCTGAGATCATGAAGAGCTGAGGCTCTGCCACTTGCCATGGCAGGTGCAGATGTGGAGGCCGAGTCCAGGCACAGGCTGGTGGTGCTAGAGAAGGAGCTGCTCCGAGACCACTTGAGTTAGGAGGGTAGAAGCTGGCATGGGAGTGGGCAACAGGGGCAGTGCAATGGGCCACTTCTGTATCCTGGGGGATTAGAGGCATGGTGGGGGCCTAAGCCAAACCCTAACCATCTCATGGAAAAAGACCATGACAGAGGGGTGCGAAGTGGATGAAGGAAGCTTTTTTTTTTTTTTTTTTGGAGACAGGCTCTTGCTCTATTGCTCAGGCTGGTGTGCAGCGGTGTGATCATGGTTCACTCCAACTTCAAACTCCTGGGCCGCAACAATCTTCCCGCCTCAGCCTCCTGAGTAGCTGGTATTACAGGTGCACACCACCATGCCCAGCTACTTTACTTCTTTCTTTTTCTTTTTCTTTTTTTCTGAGACAGAACCTGGCTAATTTTTGTAGTTTTAGTAGAGACAGGGTTTCACCATGTTGGCCAGGGTGGTCTCAAACCCTTAACCCAGTGATCTGCCTGCCTAGACCTCCCAAAGTGCTGGGATTACAGGCATGAGCCACCATGCCTGGACCTATTTATTTTTCTTATGGAGACAAGGTCCAACTCTGTTGCCAGGCAGGTCTCAAACTCCTGGACTCAAGTAATTCTCCCGCCTCAGCCTCCCAAAATATTGGGATTAATGGCACGAGCCACCATGTTGGGCTATCTGGAAAGCTATTTTTTAGAGCCAGAACATGGAGGGAGTTTTTGCTTCTTAATAATGAAGAGCCTGTGAGAGTCTAGGGATAAAAAACAAAAACAACAAAACCTAGAGAGAGAATAAGAAGCTGGACGCCCCACCCCCGGATTTCCAGAGTTGGGCAAAGTCCATCCTGGGAAATTGGAGGCCATGGGGGCTGATTTAGTGGGCCCCAGACAGTCCTGACAGCAGCTCTGGGACTGCTCACAGCTCTACGGAGGGATGAAGCCTGCTGAGCCAAGGCTTCCGAAGACCAGCTGAGGCAGAGGCTGCAAGGGGTGGAGGCTGAGCTGGAAGGGCCTGAAGTGAAGGGAAGGCCACATATGCAGGTATGTGGTTGGTTGAGCAGGTGGGCATGAGACAGGGGCTTGGAGGAGGAAAACCAACAGGGCCAGATGATGCAAGGAAGGGAAACAAGGAGGGCTTCCGACTGCCAGGCCTGGTCTTGGTCTTCCCTGAACAGGACAAATCAGGCAGGATCCTATAGGAACCAAAGGCAGGTGTCTGGGATCCCAGGCAGGGGCTTTCCAGCATGCCTGGTGCCGTGCTTGATGCTGTGTAGGATACACATGCAGTCATAGCCATCGGCTCACTCATCCCAGGGGAGGGGAGAAGGGTTAGCATCCCCAGATGAAGCTGGACTTGGGGAGGTGGGTCTGGCTTTCTGTCCTTTCCCCAGGTTTTCATGGTCTCCAGCTTCTCAGAATCACAAAAAGAACCAAGAAGGCCTTGGTGCTCCTGTTCCACTAGACCAAGTAGAGTCTTGCCCACCCACAACTTCATTTCCTTTCTCTATCCCTCCATCTCCAACCTGGGTCCCTGGGGGCCCACTGCCCTCACCCTAAAGATGAGTCGCCAGTGCCAGGCCCTGCAGAAGGAGATGGAGAGCCATAGCAGCTGGAGGAAGAAGTCAGAGGCCTTCGGAGGCAGCTAGGTAGGTCTCCCCACCCTCCAAGCCCCTTCTCTCCAAGGGTTGCAACAAGGGCCAGCATGAAGCGGTAGACTTCAAAGTCTGTGCTCTAGAAAGCTGCCATCTGGGCTCTGGGATCACTTTCCCCACTTTCACTGACCCTCCGCCACCAAGGACTGGAGCAGAGGGTTCACGATGCCAAGAATCTCTGTTGCAAAGAAGAGGTAGGACTTGCACCCCATTTCCCCCTCCACTTGGTCTCTCCAAGTCCAGCCCTAACTCCCCACCACTGCCATGTCTCTTCTGAGCAAAACATACTCCCTCTTGGTTTAGCTGATTTCTACAATGAAACTAAGGGAAAATGTTTGACTTATTTACTTCTATGTCTTCAAGAACTAGCACCTGGTAGGTCCTAAATAACTGTTCACCAAATAAATGAATAAACATTCCTAATAAGCACAAATATTTTTAAAAACCAGGAAGTCGGCCAGGCACAGTGGCTCTCGCTTGTAATCCCAGCACTTTGGGAGTCCAAGGTGGGCAGATCACAAGGTCAGGAGTTCGAGACCAGCCTGACCAACATGGTGAAACATCCACTCTACTGAAAAAAAAAAAAAAAAAAAAAAGAGGCGGTCGTTGTGGCATACACCTGTACTCTCAGCTACTCAGGAGAATTGCTTGAACCCGGGAGGCAGAAGGTTGCAGTGAACCAAGATCGTGCCACTGCACTTCAGCCTGGGAGACAGAGCAAGAGACTCTGTCCGAAAAAAAAAAAAACCATGCCGGGCGCGGTGGCACGTGCCGGTAGTCCCGGCTACTCGGGAGGCTGGGGCTGGAGGATCGCTTGAGCCCAGGAGTTCTGGGCTGTAGTGCACTATGCCAATCGGGTGTCTGCACTAAGTTTGGCATCAATATGGTGACCTGCTGGGAGCGGGGGACCACCAGGTTGCCTAAGGAGGGGTGAACCGGCCCAGGTCGGAAACAGAGCAGGTCAAAACTCCCGTGCTGATCAGTAGTGGGATCGCGCCTGTGAATAGCCACTGCACTCCAGCCTGGGCAACATAGCGAGACCCCATCTCTAAAAATAAATAAATAAAATGGAAAAAAAAAAACAACCAGGGAGCCAACCAGGCACAGTGGCACATTAACTGTAATCCTAGCACTTTGGGAAACCAAGGCTAGCAAATCACCTGAGGTCACGAGTTCGAGACCAGACTGACCAACATGGAGAAAACCTGTCTCTACTAAAAATACAAAATTAGCCGGGCGCGGTGGCTCAAACCTGTAATCCCAGCACTTTGGAGGCCGAGGCGGGTGGATCACGAGGTCAAGAGATCGAGACCATCCTGGTCAACATGGTGAAACCCCGTCTCTACTAAAACTACAAAAAATTAGCTGGACATGGTGGCGCGTGCCTGTAATCCCAGCTACTCAGGAGGCTGAGGCAGGAGAACTGCCTGAACCCAGGAGGCGGAGGTTGCGGTGAGCAGAGATCGCGCCATTGCACTCCAGCCTGGGTAACATGAGTGAAACTCCGTCTCAAAAAAAAAAAAAAAAAAAAAAAAATTAGCCGAGTTTGGCGGTATGCCTGCAATCCCAGCTACTCGGGAGGCTTAGGCAGGAGAATTGCTTGAACCCAGGAGCCAGAAGTTTGCAGTGAGCTGAGATCATGCCATTACATTCCAGCCTGGGCAACAAGAGCGAAACTCCGTCTCAAAAAAAAGAGAAAGAAAACCAGGAAGACGGCCAGGCGTGGTGGCTCACGCCTGTAATCCAAGCACTTTGGAGGCCAAGGCAGGCGGATCACCTGAGGTCGGGAGTTCCAAGACCAGCCTAACCAACATGGTGAAACCCTGTCTTTATAAAAAAAAGAAAGAAAGAAGGAAAGAAAGGAAGGAAGGAAAGAAAGAAAGAAAGAAAGAAAACCAGGAAGACTTTGCTTCTCTTCTCTTGCCCCTTACTTAACAAAATAATGTTGAAATATCTCAGCATGACACATGAGATCTTTCACAATTTTGGTCTCAAAGTTTTCATACCTTAAAAATGCCTTCAGCCGGGTGCGGTGGCTCACCCCTGTAATCCCAGCACTTTGGGAGGCCAAGGCAAGAGGATTCCTTGAGGCTGGGAGTTCAACACCAGCCTGGCCAATATGGCAAAAATACCATCTCTATTAAAATTACAAAAATTAGCTGGGCATGGTGGCATGGGCCTGTTATCCCAGCTACTCAGGAGGCTGAGTCAGGAGAATCACATGAATCCAGGAGGTGGAGGCTGCAGTGAGCCAAGATTGCACCTTTGCACTCCAGCCTGGGCAACAGAGTAAGACTCTGACAAAAAAAAAAAAAAAAAAAAAGAAGCCTTCAGTTTAGCTGTAGATGGCCAGGAGCTGCTTATCTGCCATTCAGACCCTGTGTTCCTTTCCTAATCTTTGCCTTACCTCAAATTCCAAGTCAATCAATGACTCAATGTTTTGTTTTTTTTGAGACAGAGTTTTGCTATTGTTGTCCAGGCTGTAGCGCAAGCCATCTCGGCTCACTGCAACCTCCGCCTCTGCCTCCTGGGTTCAAGCGATTCTTCTGTCGCAGCCTCCCGAGTAGCTGGGATTACAGGTGCATGCCACCAGACCCAGATAATTTTTGTATTTTTAGTAGAGACAGGGTTTCATCATATTGGTCAGGCTGGTCTCGAACTCCTGGCCTCAGGTGATCCACCCACCTTGACCTCCCAAAGTGCTGGGATTACAGGCATGAGCCACTACGCTCAGTTTTGTTTTTTGAGATGGAGTCTTGTATCTGTCAACCAGGCTGGAGTGCAGTGGCGCAATCTCAGCTCACCGCAACCTCTGCCTCCTGGGTTCAAGTGATTCTCCTGTCTCAGCCTCCCAAGTAGCTGGGATTACAGGCATGTGCCACCATGCCCGGCTAATTTTTGTAGTTTTAGTAAAGACTGGGTTTCACCATGTTGGTCAGGCTGGTTTCAAACCCTGACCTCAGGTGATCTGCCCACCTCAGCCTCCCAAAGTGCTGGGATTACAGGCATGAGTCACCGTGCCCAGCCAATGAATCAATGTTTATTGAACACCTCCTGTATACTAGCTAGGTGCTTTGTCATCTATTATCACATTTAAAGGTCACAGCATGCCCCTGAAGGATGTATCATTCTCTCTTTAAAGATGAAAACACCAGCCGGGCACAGTGGCTCATGCCTGTACTCCCAGCACTTTGGAAGGCCAAGGTGGGCAGAAAATGAGGTCAACAGACTGAGACCATCCTGGTAAACATGGTGAAACCCCGTCTCTTCTAAAAATACAAAAATTAGCCAGGCATGATGGTGCTCACCTGTAGACCCAGCTACTTGGGAGGCTGAAGCATGAGAATCCCCTGAACCTGGGAGACAGAGGTTGCAGTGAGCTGAGATCATGCCACTGCACTCCAGCCTGGTGACAGAGCGAGACTCTGTCTCAAAAAAAAAAAGAAAGAAAATAAATGAAGACACCGAGGCTCAGAGAGAGACACACCTGAAGTCACCTAGGCAGTAATAACCAGCTTTGGAGCCTTCTGTCTCAAGCCCGCCACTCTCTGCCATGCCTCAGTGGGGCTGCAGCTTTTACAGGGACTGTGGGAAAGTTGGTGATCCCGAGGGAGTCTGGAATAAGCCCACTTGAGGTCCCCTTTGAAGATACCTTTGGAGACTGGTCAAGGGTAGAGTGTCACCATCCTGCTCTCTTTCATCCTGCCTGCCCCTAGAGGCATGCCAAAGGGAGGCTGCAGCTGCCCGGGAAGAGGCTGAGCAAGCCCTAGGAGAGCTAGACCAGGCCCTGGCTCAGCTTCAGGCCCATGTGGCAGACATGGAAGCCAAGTATGAGGAAATCTTACCTGTAAGCACCACCCCCTGCCCAGCCACCCAGTACCCAGGACTCCCCCATGCCCACAAACCCCAGCTAGTATGATGACTGACAACCCAGGGGTAAGGAGAAGAAGCGTCTCCAAGGGAGCCCTGCTCTATCCTGAGGGCAGAAAGAGGGGATACAACCATGTCTACTGGGCAAGGAAAGCTCACAAACCAAGCTGGGGCAGCCCTCCCCCTTCCTTCTGTCTTCTGGGGGCTGAAATCTTGGTGTCTGCAGGACAGCCTGTACAGGCTCTTGGCCAAGCTGAGAGCCATCAAGCCGCAGTGGGATGCGGCTGCGCTGAGACTCCACGCCAGGCTCAAGGAGCAGCTATGCCAGTTCGGACTCACCCCCTGGATCTTTGAGGCCTCCAGCCTCTAGTCTCTCAGGCTCCTTAAGGCCCCAGCAATAAAGCGTCTTGATGCAGAACTCAACAGAGCTGTGGGCGGTAGCTTTTTGGAAGAGGGGGGGGGTTTTTTTTTTTTTTTTTTTTTATTTATTTTTCTTCTTTTTTTTTTTTATTATTTTTATTTTTAGGAGTGGCTCTCCTGGGGACATCTCAGTTCTGGGTTGATCCATTAATCTGAGACTGAGTGATAGGAAAGAAATTTGATCAGGTCTCAACCTGTCTCCTGAAAAAGCCAGGTCCTACCCCTTGCGCCTGAGGCCCTTTGGGTCCCTTCAGACCACTGCCCCTTACCCCCACCAACACAAACACAGGCAGTCAGATTTATGGGGAACGGCCATTTCTCTAACAAGTACAACGGTGCCCAGGCACCACCCTCCACAGTGTTAAGGTGCCCACAGAGGGCAGGCATAGCTGTTCTCCAAATTCTTGTATTACACTCAAGGGTCGTGGAGCCATATCTAGAAAAGGTCCAGGTGGTTTCAGTCCTAGCCAGCCCTACAGCCACACCTTCATCCTTGGGACACAGCTCTCCAAAGCTCCCAGATGACATCCTCTGGAGCCTCGGACTTCTTCAGGGGCCTGCCTGAGGCCTTCCGCCATACCCTCTGCTGGGAGGTGGGTCTGCGGGAAGGGAGGGAGTGCCTGGGCCAGCCTGTGATGGATGATGTCTGAGTCCCTCCGGTCTGGCTTAGAGAGAGCATCCTGCCTCCAACACCTCGGGCTTCAGAGTGAAGACAGGATAGCCCCTGGTATGTCTGTACCAAGCAGTGATGCTCTATAGCAGGTCCGAGGCCAGAGCCCAGTCCTATGCAGAGAGAGGAGGCAGAAGGTCGTTTCAGGTGGAACCCCAAATAGTTACTTTTTCTTGCTTCCTCCTGCGCTGGAATGCCCAGGAATGGGATTTATTTTTTTATTTTATTTTATTTATTTATTTATTTATTTATTTTAAGGTGGGGTTTCACCATGATGGCCAGGCTGGTCTTGAACTCCTGACCTCAGGTGATCCACCCACCTAGGCCTCCCAAAGTGCTAGGATTACAGGCGTGAGCCACAGTGCCTGGCCAGGAATGGGACTTATTTCACTCATTTTTCTGTCCCCACCTACCACGACCTGAAGTCCCGCCCTGCAGACCCCACACTGCTTCACCTTGCAGCTCACCCACTCTGTCCTCCTTTCTCACCCCTCCCTGCGCTTCTGTAGGTACTCAGGGTCCAATCTGTTTCTTCTTCCTCACCTCTACAGCCCCAGGGGGAATCCAGGCTTCCAAGCCCCATGGAGACCTGGCTGCCAGCTTCAGGCAGAGGGGTGGCTCAGCCTCAGGCAGCTGCTGAAGCCTCTCCAGGTCATTCTGTTCCCCAACGGGGTACCCGTTCACTTCCAGAATCACATCTCCCACTCGCAGCCCAGCCCGGGCAGCTGAGCCTCCTGGTGTCACCTGGTGGTGTGGGGGCATGCAGAACAGGGGAGACCAGGGGAAAGTTTGCTGGCTTAAGGCTCTGGAAGGGAAGCAGAGGAAACTGATCAGGCAGCAAAGGATTGAAAGGATCCAGGGTCCATGGGGCATTAGTCACCTGGGAGATGAAGAGACGAGGCCCACCGGCCACACAGCTGAGTCGGAAGCCATAGCCGCCACCAGGCCCAGGGTACAGAGAACACTGGCGGGAGCCAAGAGGGACAGAAGGCACATCTGTGTCTTCAAGTGAAGGGTCCTCTGTCTCAACCAGAGAGGCTGAGCCACCGCCCTGGGGAGAGGCAGGAGCCTTTGTGTTCTCCAGGAAGAGGAGTGGGGATAGGCGAACCTGGAAAGTGGCAGGTAGAGCAAACCTGTTGGACCCAAGCCCCGCTCCTCTTCTGCCCCATCCCTAGCCCCTGCCCACTCAGCACGCACCATGCTGAAGAAGCGGTCGGCATCGGGGTCGACGACAATGAGGGAGACACAGGAGCCCTGCGCCTGGATCCTGGACACTGTCTCCTCATGGCCCAGTCCCTCCACGCTCTCCCCAGCCACAGCCACCAGCCGGTCCCCAGCCTGCATCCCAGCCTTCTTAGCTGGCAGTCCTGGGTCTACATCCCACAGGAACTGTCCTGGGGCACAGACATCCTTACTGCTTCTCCCCAACTATCCCAGGCCACTGTGTGCACACCAGCGGACTGACCCCAGGGTGAACAGGAAGAGGTGGCCCAGGGCCAGAGCTCAGACAGGGACACCTCTTCTGTGCACTGAGAGGTGTATATACACTTGTGTGCCCACCCCAAGGCCCACCTTCCCCCACCACCCCCAGGGCTCCCACTCACCAGGGCGACCATCAAGGCCCTTTTCCTCCCGGAGCAGGAACCCAAAACCCCGGGGCCCTTTCTGTAGGTGCAGACATCGGGGCTTGGTAGGCAGTGCCCAGCCCTCTGCCAGGGGTGCAGCCAGGGGCATTCCCAGCTGGCGACACTGTTCCTCCACCTCTGGCCCTGCCACCAGCAAGGTCACCTGCTGTCCACTCTGCCAAAGCTGTGGGGACCCAGCAGGGCATTAGTATAACACCTGGGCAGGGAGGGAAGAGGCAGGCTCCCCGCACAGGCCCTCCTCCCAGACACTAAGTGGGGCCTGGCACAAACTGTATCGGGGCAGATGGTGATAAAGGCAGGAGACCAGATCAGGAGGTTAGGTGCATGGGGGCGGAGGCGTCTTCCTGAGGGGGACCCAGGCCCAGATTGGGGGAGGGGAGTGGGAGGCAGCCATACCTTCCTGGTGAGTTGGTTGTGAGTGAACTTCTCCACACTGACCCCATTGACTTCCAGCAGCCGGGCCCCGGGGGGCACCCCTGCCCTCTCAGCTGCTCCTCCAGTACTTAGCACCAACCAGAAAGAACCCTGATTGCCTAGAAGTCAAAAAATAAATAAAAAGCAAAGTTCAGTCTGTTGCCTGCCTGCCCTGAACAGGGGCTGAGATCCCCCATCTTTGCTGCCCCCCGCACCCTCTGAGCTCACCATGGGTGACACTGAAGCCAAAACCACCCTCATCTTTCACTATATGGCACAGCCGGGGCCGGACCCCTGGGCCTAGGGTAGGACAGAGGTGGGCATCTTCTCCCAGCTGAGCTCGGGCCACATCATGTACATGCCGTGCCAAGACTGTCAGCAACACCCGAGGACTGCTGGCCCGGATGCGGCGTACCACCTGGAAGAGGGCATGTGGGCGTGGGTTTGGCCTCCATCCACTTGCCAGGATCTCCCTGGAATTCACTTTTTTTTTTTTTTTTTTTTGCCATGGGAATTGGCTTTCTAGATGCCTTTCCCAACCCCTCTGACTTGGGCACTCCTAAATCCCAAAGTGTGGGGGAGTGAGGCTTGTGCCCTGCTGCCAGAGTGCCCAGATGCCTGAGCAACCAGCTTCTCTTTCTGAGGCACTCGCACGCTCTCCTGGACCACAGCCTTACCACCGCATAGTCCTCGTGTTCCACAGCGTTGTTGTTCACCCCCAGGATCCTGTCTCCTTCCTGGAGACCCTGGCGCTGGGCAGAGGTGCCTGGGTCCACCCTGCACACCACATGACCAGCCTTGCCCAGCTCCTGCCGTAGGTGGAAGCCAAAACTCTTGCCCTCCTCTTTGCTCAGCAAACAGAAGCGAGGCCGCTCCAGGCTCCAGGGATCTGGAGGGTGAGGTGGGCAGCAGAAAAGGGGAAGGAGAGGGCACAGCCCAAGTACAGGTTTGCCATATGGCTGGCGGACCCTGCGTCCTGATAGGGCTCTGGGCAGCTTTTGCCCGGTTGGGTGTTGGGCGGTGGGGTCAACACTTCACGGGCAGAGGGACCGGGACAGGAGAAAATGACTGGTCCCGCCTATCTCCGCTACCAAGCAAGGCTGTTATCAGAGGGAGACGGAGTGAGTGGTTACCAAGGAGATGGGAGGTGGAGTGGAGCTGTGGTGCCTCCAGGGAAAGGGAATGGTTGCCAGGGGGTGAGGGAGTTACCAGAGGGGTTGTGGTCTTCGGCCAGGGAGAGGACAGGATTATCAATTCCCAGCTTTGGGTTAAACTTAAACTTCCTACAAGGAGGCAGGGGAAGCAGGTACAAGCTGGCAGCTGGACTTGGGTCCCAGGATCTCCTTTAGGTGCTAATAGCAGTGAAGTGCTTCCCACCTCTGATTCTTTTCTCCCCGTGCCCCAACCCTCATGGCACTTACAGAGTTAACGAGGCTGTGTTCTGCAGATCTACTGGGCAAAGAAGTGGGTGAGAGGAGAGTCACGTTCTTCTCCCCAGATGTGCCTCTTCCATTGGCATAAACTAAAAGGACTCAGGGGAACCCCCAAACTCAGGGTGTGCCCCCTCCATTCTGTTCCAAAGGGGTCTTCTCTTCTCACTGCCGTACACACAGGGATATTGTACGGTCCCCTCCCTTCCCCTCCCCCCAAGTTCTTGGCATATAAATCTGAGCATATCAGTACAGGGTGTGGACCAGGAAGACAGACCTATCAACTCACTACTTTTCTCCTGACTTGTTTACCTGCCTCGGGGCTCCAAGCCCCAGAATCAAGTGTGCCTTGGTCCCAAAGCTTCAGCCTTCAAGTCAGCCCCCTACCTGTCCCAAAGTCCCCTGCAGAGGATTTCTCCTTGTCTCCTACCTGCAGCTCTCTCCATAGCTGGATCAGTGACCCAGGGCTCGGCGTAGGGACAAGGTTCATCACAGCCACTGACCCTCCCTCCCATCTCCTCCCAGGTCCCGCCTCCTTGAAGACTCTGTGGAAGCAGCGGGGTAATGGTTAACGGGAGTGACAGTCTTTTTTTTTTTTTTTTTTGAGATGGAGTTTAGCTCTTGTTGCCCAGGCTGAAGTGCAATGGCGTGATCTTGGCTCACTGCGACCTCTACCTCTGGGTTCAAGCAGTTCTGCCTCAGCCTCCTGAGTAGCTGGGATTACAGGCATGCACCACCACGCCCGGCTAATTTTGTATTTTTAGTAGAGATGGGTTTTCTCCAAGTTGGTCAGGCTGGTCTCGAATTCCCGACCTCAGGTGATCCGTCCACCTCAGCCTCCCAAAGTGCTGGGATTACAGGCGAGAGCCACCGCGCCCGGCCCTGCCCAACATTTCTATTGTTGCCCTGGTGTGTTTATTTTCCCACCACATTTTCTATTGCTGTATAACACATGCTCCAAAATCCAGTGGCTAAAAACGATACCCATTCATTTTATTATTTTTTTATTTTTTTATTTTTTTTTTGAGACGGAGTTTCACTCATGTTACCCAGGCTGGAGTGCAATGGCGCGATCTCGGCTCACCGCAACCTCCGCCTCCTGGGTTCAGGCAATTCTCCTGCCTCAGCCTCCTGAGTAGCTGGGATTACAGGCACGCACCACCATGCCCAGCTAATTTTTTGTATTTTTAGTAGAGACGGGGTTTCACCATGTTGACCAGGATGGTCTCGATCTCTTGACCTCGTGATCCACCCGCCTTGGCCTCCCAAAGTGCTGGGATTACAGGCTTGAGCCACCGCGCCCGGCTATTATTATTTTTTTAAGACAGACTTTCACTCTTGTTGCCCAGGCTGGAGTGCAATGGCGTGATCTCAGCTCACCACAACCTCCGACTCCCAGGTTCAAGCAATTCTCCTGCCTCAGCCTCCCGAGTAGCTAGGATTACAGGCATGGGCCACCATGCCCAGCTAATTTTGTATTTTTAGTAGAGACGGGGTTTCACCATGTTGGTCAGGCTGGTCTCAAACTCCCGACCTCGGGTGATCCACTTGCCTCAGCCTCCCAAAGTGCTAAAATCACAGGAATGCGCCACCATGCCTGGTCAAGAGTCTTATGCTCTGGGAAAGTGTGTGGTTTCTCCTGCCCCTTTCCCTGGGCCCCAATTTTTTCCAGAGACCCTGTATCTGACCCAGTCAGCTCTCTGTGCATAGAAAGACAGATCGCTGGTCACTAACTCTAAGCCTGGGGGGTGAGTGTGAAAAGGGTGATAAGAATTCTATGGCTTATGATATGATTTGGCTGTGTCCCCACCCAAATCTCATCTTGAATTGTAGCTCCTATAATTCCCACCTGTCAAGGTGAGGGACTGTGTTAACTTTTCTTCCTGGGTCCACAGGGGCGTGGTTTCAAAGGCAAGAACTTCCCAGTGCTATGCCTCCATCCACCTCCCCATCTGGTAACCTAGAGTTCTTTGTCTATGCTAGGAACCTTGGGGCCCATCAAATGACGGGGGTAGGGGAGTAGAGGGGGTAGCTGAGCCCTGTCCCAAACCGGTTACAATGGGAGGTACCCGGTGGGAGGTAAGTGAATCACAGGGACAGGTTTTCCCAGGCTGTTTTAATAATAGTGAATAAAAGTCTCATGAGATCTGATGGTTTTATAAAGGGAGTTGCCCTGCACACACTCTCTTGCCTGCCACCATGTATGTGACTTTGCTCCTCATTTGCCGTCTGCCATGATTGTGAGGCCTCCCCAGCCATGTGGAACTGTGAGTCAATTAAACCTCTTTCCTTTGTAAATTACTTACCCAGTCTTGGGTATGTCTTTATTAGCAGCATGAGAACAGACTAATGCAGCCCAGCATGGCCAACCCCCATGCCAATATCTTGTTCATGGGCCCCTCCAGCCTCCACTGCCTCTGAACCTGGTGCCCATGAACCACTTGCAATAGATCATGGTTGGTAGTTTAACCAGAAAGACCAAGAACAGTACCCTTTCTTGGAAGCACCAGGCAATAAAGAGGAGGCCACAATCGGTGGAAGGCACACAGCTTTTTAATAGCAGCAAGTCAGTTGCATCTACCTCGAGAGGCCACCAAGCCATCGGTACCATTGTGGCAAAGGGGGCATGAGGATGAGGAGAAAGCACCAATGTGAGGGCATCCTCAGTGTCCACAAGTGAGCAGAGTATGGTGGCTCACGCCTGTAATCCCAGCACTTTGGGAGGTCAAGGCGGGTGGATCACCTGAGGTCAGGAGTTCGAGATCAGCCTGACCAACATGGAGAAACCCTGTCTCCACTAGAAATACAAAATTAGCTGGGCATGGTGGCACATGTCTATAATCCCAGCTACTTAGGAGGCTGAGGCAGGAGAATCGCTTGAATCTGGGAGGCAGAGGTTGCAGCAAGCGGAGATCGCACCATTGCTCTCCAGCCTGGGCAACAAGAGCAAAACTCTGTCTCAAAAAAAAAAAAAAAAAAGGGAGGGGAAGCCAGCATCCAACACATCTGGATGGTGACATCCCCAGCATGGCAGACATAAGATGTGAGCCCCTTGCTGGTACAATCGGTGAGAGGAGGGGGAGGCAAGGTGGTGGTCGTGCTTCAGGGCACTCTGGTCATCCAAATTCCAAATACTTTGGTCCTTCTGGCCGAAGAAAGAGGAGGCATGTTCCATCTCCAAGCCCAGAGCATTGATTTTTTTTTTTTTTTTTGAGACGGAGTTTCACTCTTGTTACCCAGGCTGGAGTGCAATGGCGCGATCTCGGCTCACCGCAACCTCCGCCTCCTGGGTTCAGGCAATTCTCCTGCCTCAGCCTCCTGAGTAGCTGGGATTACAGGCACGTGCTACCATGCCCAGCTAATTTTTTGTATTTTTAGTAGAGACGGGGTTTCACCATGTTGACCAGGATGGTCTCGATCTCTTGACCTCGTGATCCACCCGCCTCGGCCTCCCAAAATGCTGGGATTACAGGCTTGAGCCACCGCGCCTGGCCCAAAGCATTGATTTATCTTCTTTAACTTGGTGATTCCAGACTCAGACCTGGTTGAACATGCCCCAGGAGGGCAACTGGCACAGCTGTGCCCATTCCTTTGCCTCCAGACCTGAAGAGATCTTTCTAGAAGGAGCAGTGCAAGCCAGGAGCCCACAGAGGGAAGAGGTTTAGGGTCAGTGGTCACAAAGCTAGGTGCCTGCCACCAGTGTCTCAGCTTCCAGAGCCTCCCAGCCGCTCCAGGAGGGCCCTGACCTCGCCCTCCACTCGCAGCAGCTGGGCCTTGCGCCAAGGATTAAGGGTGGCACACCGGCTATCTTCCAGATCCCGCAGTAGGAGCTCAAGATGGCGCTGGACCCGGGCCCGATCCCAGCTGTTGAGGTTCCGCTGGACTTCATTGAGGATCACTGACCAGTATTCCGACACTGCCGTCCCCTCTGTCAGTGATGCCACCACCCGGGCACGGCCTTCAGCAGCACCCGCTAAGTCCCGCAAGACCTGGCGGCCCTCTGAGCTCAGCTCATTGAAGTAGAGGCTGGCAGGAGAGAGAAAGTTGATGCCATTCAGTAGAGCTATGAGAAGGAGGGTCCAAGGGTGGATGGACAGAAAATCAGGGGGCCTCACAACTCATCTCCTGGCTGCAGAGTGTAATCGGGTAAGTATCTGCAATGAGCCAGAGATGGAGGGTGCTGGCCAGTGAGAGGTAGGGACCAACACTAGAATCTTTTTTTTTTTTTTTTAGACTGAGTCTCGCTCTGTCTCCCAAGCTGGAGTGCAGTGGCATGATCTCAGCTCACTGAAACCTCTGCCTCCCAGGTTCAAGTGATTCTCCTGCCTCAGCCTCCTAAGTAGCTGGGATTATAGGCATGCACCACCACGCCCAGCTAATTTTTGTATTTTTAGTAGAGATGGGGTTTCACCATGTTGGCCAGGCTGGTCTCAAACTCCTGACCTCAGGTGATGTGCCTGCCTCGGTCTCTCTAAGTGCTGGGATTACAGACATGAGCCACCACATCCGACCCCGATACTAGAATTCAATTGGACCAGGGACAGCAGGCCTCTAGGAGAAATGGTGGTAGGGATTTGGGGCAGTTTACGGGCCAGTCGCCAGGGGGGTGAGTTGGCTCAGAACTAGGTTGACAAGGATCGGTCAGAAACCAGGAACAGAGGACAGGCACCAGGCCAGGCCCAGAAGCACTCCCTAGGATTGGAGGAACACAGTGGTGAGAGGGAAGGAGTCTGAGGGCTGGGGGCAATGGGACCAGGGACAGGACTCACTGCAGCAGTTCCAGGGAAGGGTGCTCCCGGGCAGCTCTGGCCAGGGCCAGGGCTGCCGTGTCACCAGCACCGTTGTAGGCCACATTCAGCTCCTGCAGTTGCCGGTTGCGGTCCAGCTGGGCAGCCAGCAGCTCCAGACCCTCGTCCCCAAGTCCCGTGTGCAGCAGAGACAGGTGCGTCACTGAGGTGTTTCCTGCCAGCCCCTCCATCAGCAGGGCAACACCTGCCGCTGTCAGCGGGTTGTTGGACAGCCTATAGCCACATGCAACCCAAGGTTATGAGGGCCCATTGAGAGGAGGGAGAGGCAAGGTTGGTGGTGGTGCTGGCAGCCTTGATGGGGCAGCCCTGTGCTGGGTGTCAGGACTTGGGCCAAAGAGGGCCCTGCTTGGGGCAAAAGAAGCCTGGACATAGAAATGCAGGCCCAAGAGAAGGGATGGAGCAATAGGGGATGTGGTGCCTGGCAGAGGAAGGAGAGTGGGGGAGCTGATCTTTCCTTTTCTCTTCCCCTGACTCCCTTCTTATCTATTCCCTTCCTCGTCACCATTTCTTTATCCCTTCTTCTGCCTTTTTTTTTTTTTACCTCTTCTGCAGCCTCTGCTTCTCCCTCCCCTCTGACTCCCCTATCCTTCTCCCTGCTCTTCCTTTTTTCCTCCTCATTTGCCTCCCCTTACAAAACCAGAAACTGGGAACCCAGGCACCCAGATTCCCCACATAACAGTTAACACTTAAGGAGCATCTACTGAGTACCCAGCATTAGGGCCATCCTCAGGAGGCTGGAGGAGAAATCCTGGAAGAGGATCAGTGGCACTGTTACCAGGCAACTGGCCTAGGTATTATTCCACCCTCTCTCCCTACCTCCACCAGGCTGATTTTAGCC